CCTTCCCCTTCCACTGTTCCACAGGTTCCCAAAACCTTTATTTCACACACAGCCCTTTCCACCCACTTCCGCAGCCCCACACACTCTCCTCAGGGAGAGGCACCCTCCCCACACCGCAGCTCTGAACCTCTGCAGCCACCTACAGGGCTGGGAGCAGCATTTTCGTTACGGGAAACCCCTCTCATTTGGAGCTAATGTAGACCTGCAGGCTCCTGGAAATCTGGGAGCAGTGTTTCCCTCAGGAGCCCCCATCACCTCAACCCCTCTCTCGTCCGGGACAGCCTTTCCGTTGTTTCCACCTTCTTTCTGCACCTCAGCCCCGGGGCATCCCCTCAGACCACTCCAGGGGGCGGAAATACCATCTCAGATTCAACTTTTCCATTTTACATCTCGCTCAGGAGGCTTGTTGTCCTGAAGTTACCCTCAAGTTTTGCTGCGGCTGGAAATGAAACCACCTGTAAGTGGCCATAAAGCTGCCAGCGGCATGGACCAGCACCCTTCCGGCAACGAGACAACCCGTCCTTTGGAGAGACAGCTCTCTCGACGCCCCAGAGCCCAAGGCTGGTATGAGCGTGGCTCTCTTACCAGGATCCCTGCCCAGCTGCAGAGGACTGGATGTGGCTGGGCTGGATATCACATTGGGACTCCCACCCTCAGCCACTGACACGTGCTCCCACTGTACCTGGCAAAGGAAGGTGGCTCTGGTAAGCTCCTCCAGGAGCTGAAACCACAGCCCTGAGCACAGTGAGCACGCAGCTTTTGCTCTTCATGTCACAGAATCATAGTATCCCAGACTGGTTTGGGTTACAAGCGACCTTAAAGCTCATCCAGTCCCAACCCCCTGCCACGGGCAGGGTCACCTTCCACTAGAGCAGGTTGCTCCAAGCCCTGACGAGCCTGGCCTTGAGCACTGCCAGCGATAGGGGAGCCACAGCTTCTCCAGAAGAAAGGACCTCAGCTCATGGCCAGGGAAAAGGCCACATCGCCCAAGGCCTGGCTCAGCCGGTAACTTGTACAGGTGCTGCTGGGGCCAGCCAAGTGCTCGGTTGGAGTCTCATGGCCCTCGCACCCCAGCCCATCCGCAGCGGGGCGGAAAGCCGCAAGTGGCTGGGGCTCCAGGCGAGGTTCAGTGCTCAAGGCGGTGGAGCTGGCCCCTCGCAGCAGTCTAAATGCACCAAACAGCTTGCCTGTGCTCCTGACTGTGAGGATGGAAGGCACGGACCCAGAGGTTCCTCCTTCCCGTGGTATCTGACAGTTTCGATACATTCCAACCCCCACAGTTCCCCCTTCTTGTTTTAGCAATGCAGTACATACGTGTCTCTCAAAAGCTTGGGATAACATTTGCTGCATGCATTGTAACAAACAAGGTATAACACATATGATGGCAAAGAGGACAAGCAAAAAGATCAATCCTCCTTTAACCAAAGTCAATAGCCACCCAGTTATACCCCAGCCGGAAAAAAAGTGATGATAACCAGTCGGCATCATCTTCCCTTAACTTCATCACACTGTCTTTCAACTTGCAGATACTTTCGTGTATGGATTCTGAATGGTCTGATAAATTCAGGCAACACATCCCTTCCAAAATTTCACACCCATGTCCATGCACCAAGAGGAGAAAATCGACTGCTGCCCTATTTTGCAAAGTCGCATGCCTGATAGGGTCGATATTAGTGAGCAAAGCAGAGAGAGCAGATGCTGTAGCACTAGTTTGTTTAGCAAGCCAACATCCTAACTTATTCAGTGTTGTTAAAGCTCGAGCACTAGCTACTCCGGGCACTAAAAAGGAAGTAGCTATTATTTCACCTGGGTTCCAAACATTCACTTTGTCATCACAGCTCCGTTGAAAAGCATGCGTTGACCTTCCAGAACACAATCCTGGCTTATTTATTATCATAGTGTTATTAGGGATAAACATGCCTAAGGTCCCCACTGCACACGGGCCGTCCTTTATATGGGATGGCACCCCTTGCCAGGCCCAATCTTGTGGCAACTGAGGCATGGACTCGGTTTCTGGCTACAAACAAAATCCCTTATTGAGTGAGCTTACGGGTTTTTATAGTATTATGCCTAGCGGTGAGTAGCAGTTAGTTCCTTTGGTACTTTTCCATCACAAAACAATCTTATTGATCATGCACTCTTTCAGCCAATCACATTACTGTCCACACACCTTTGCTTGAGTACTTATTTCTAAACATAGTTCTTTGCTATCACTACTCATTACAATCCCACTTCCCCTTGACTACACATTACCTTGTCTTAAGCATCCTCCTGTTTTCAAATTTACGGTCCTCCGAAATTCTCTTGCTGCTCTCTCTTCGGTTCCACCCGATGTTCTTTCTCCGGTTCCTCCCGACTTGCCCCGTTCACTTCTTCCAAGGTTCGTGGCTGATAAGAGTCCAGATGTCCAGGCTGTCATACAGGTCTCCTGGCACAGCTTCTTGGGCAGATTTCCCTACATCTCCCCCTTCTTTATAAACTAACAAAACATTGTTGACAGATTTAGTGATGAAACGATTTACAGAAGCAGTTAACCAAGGAAGTGTGACTAAAATACAGAGAGATTTTTACACAGGTTAATGCGATTTTAATAATGTTTTTCAAGCATACACTGATGCCCTATTCTGACAGTAAACTTTCTAGCCAATTCCAGCTACTGTCCACTCGCAGCTTCTGAACTCCGGCCTTTACGTTCTGCATTGCCTCATGGCCAGACTCGGAATGATTAGACAGGTTCATGTAGTACATTCTGTCAAAGTCTTTACAACCATGTCCTTGAGCTAATAGCAAAAAATCTATGGCAGCTCTATTTTGAAGCGTAGCATGACTGACTGAATCGTTACGCTAACAGACCACTGCTGTGGGTGAAGAACCTCCGGGGCAGAGGCTGGGTTTCCCCCCGCCTCTCACTGGGAGGAGTGGACTCCCCGCCGCCCTGCAGCGCGCATCTTGGCGGGCGCAGCGCGCCATCTTGCCGAGCGCTGCGCGCACGCGCGCCTGTCGGAACACACACAGGCGAGAGGTGGGCGAGCAGCGCAGGCCTCTGCCCGTGGGCAGACAATGGGGGCAGCCCGCCGGCTCTTGCTGCTCCTGCCGCCGCCGTGCGAGTGAGTGAGGCGGTGGCAACGCGGAGGTGGAGGCGGCACGCCCGTGCTCTGCAGCTTCTTGTCCCGCCGCCACCAGGCGCAGCCCCTCGCCGGAGGAAAGCCGCCGCCGCTGCCTCCGCCCGGTTCTCGCGGGAGCGCCATTTTCCTTCCCGTCGCTTCGCCTCGTGACGGACGGGATATGTAGCATTCAGATTTTGGGGCAGGTTTACATCACCTTGATTTTCTGCTGCTTTTTTAATGTTTCTCCACATGTCATGCGCTGCGTCTACCTGAGCCGGGCAGGGCCAGGCAAACACTGGTGATGGCTCTGGGATGGGCAGCGAGTGCTGCTGACAGCAGCCCCAGAGCACCCAGAGCAACAGGAGAAGCCTCGCTCGACCCTGCAGACCTCGCAGCGTGCGCAGCAGGACCCCAGGCACGAGCCAGGCTGGCCTCGCCACACGCGACGTCACAAGGGGGGGTCAGTGCACCCTGTGCCCTGGAACCGGCAGATCCCGCTGCAGCCGCCCTCCGCAGGGTCCTGCTGACCCCAAAGAGAAGGCCCCGGCCCCCAGGACTCTCCCAGCCCTGCAAGAGGCCGCACAGCGGCAGCACTAGCAGTGCTCCACTGACTCTGGAGCGAAGGAGATCAACAAATGCACACGTTCAAGAAGTTCCAAGGAAGGCCGTAGGGCATCTGGGCTGTACCAGTAACACGTGGGTGAGGTGAGACACTTCACTTGGACTGAGGATGGGAAATGTACAGTGTATACACCAGATGGACATGTCAGTGAAGCTGTACCTGTCAGTCTGAGGACCCTTTTTACCATCAGGTGACTACCACTGCTGGTAAAAAGTACTGGAAGTTGCTCATTTCCCTGCCTCCAGGTGTGAACTTCCACCTCATGGCTCTTCTAACTTGTTAAGACTTGGATGATATTGAATGCTTGCAAAGGATTTAATCCAGGGAGCCACTGGATTTGTTTAAATGAGACCACTGGGCTGAAGATAGTATTCATAGTATTACGTGAAAACTAATACATGCTTTTATATAATAGACTTCTATAATGCAACAGGATTTTAAAAGCTCTTTTAAAATGACTGCACTTGGCTGGAAAATCCTTGCGAAAAGAGGTAGATAATTTTAAAATCAATTTAAACAATAAGTAAAATGGAAAAAAAAACAACAAAAACCCAACAAAAACCAACCAAGCCCAGCAAATACTCCCAAATAAATGCCTACTTCTCCTGTCCTTTCCCTTCTCTGTCCTGCTCCTTTTGATGCAGCCCAGGATATGGTTTGCTTTCTGGGCTGTGAGCGCACACTGAAGCCGGCTCAGGTTCAGTTTCTCATTGACCAAATGCTCAAAAGGAACATGACCAGCAGGTCAAAGGAGGGGATCCTGCCCCTCTACTCTGCTCTCATGAGACCTCACTTGGAGTATTGTGTGCAGTTCCGGTGTCCTCAACATAAAAAGGACATGGAACTGTTGGAACAAGTCCAGAGGAGGGCCACGAGGATGATCAGGGGACTGGAGCACCTCCCGTATGAAGACAGGCTGAGAAAGTTGGGGCTGTTCAGCCTGGAGAAGAGAAGGCTGCGTGGAGACCTCATAGCAGCCTTCCAGTATCTGAACGGGGGCTATAGGGATGCTGGGGATGGACTCTTCATTAGGGACGCAACAAAAACCAACCAAGCCCAGCAAATACTCCCAAGTAACTGCCTGCTTCTCCTGTCCTTTCCCTTCTGTGTCCTGGGAGATATTTACAGATCCTGTAACAATAAAAGGATTTAATCTGAATGCGAAGGGACACATGAATATTTAATAATTTGTATGTATTGCTTCTTACGGTACTACAAATATTTGGAGAGTATCGTCTTTCTCCAAATGTAAGATAGATGGTGGTAATGAACTATATGATCATTTCCAAGCCAGCATCATAGCTCGTGCAGGCTGCTGACAGATAGAAGTCCACTGCCCTGTCTGTGCTGGCCCTCATGCGCGCTGCCAGGCAGGACAGCCTCCATCCAGCAGAAGTGCCCTCCAGCCTGAAGAGGTGCTCCAGTAAGGAAAGACAGCGGCTCTGCCGCAGCAGCCAGGCGAGCTTCTTCTTCCTGCCAAGCAAGAGAAACTGCTAGGCCCAGAGGCTTTAGCTCTACCGGCTAGAGCCTATGAGCTGGGTCAGACAGGGCCAGGGGGCAAAACGGGTGCCAGACAAGACCGTTACACTTCCTTGGAGGAAATAGAGCTGATGGAGGGGGAGCTGCCAGAAGGGAAAGGGGCAAACAACAAGTACCACAGTGGGAAGCTGGCCGCTAGAGAGGATGTTGGCCTGACAGCACCAGGGGGGCCAAGCTCCTCTTACTGCTCCTTCTCCATGCCCTGGTCCTGCCTCCAGCCCCCCCACCCCTTTTCAGTACAGCTCTCTCTTCCCAGCCAGCACCAATCCACTGCCACAACTCGTGCCAGCAGACACATCCCTGGCTGCAAGCTGCTTTGATACCCTAAGGTATGCTTTGTTCCAAGGGCCTCAGAGGGAGGGAGGGAGAGAGGAACTTTATCGTTCCCTGTTCTACCCTCACATTGCTCTGTGTGGCCTCAAGCCTCGTCAGGTCTGTGCCCATATGCCTGTGACCAGGTAGGAAATAACTCTTTCTCCCCCGGGTTCTTGGTCGTGTTTCTTACTGGGCCTTCTGTGGAAGGGAAGATGCTCTTCTGGCAACATAAGCGGCACACTGCAATTTTTCAACCTGCGACCTGACAAAGTCTTCAGCGCGGTTCCGGGGAAATGGCCTTCCAAGCAGGCTCAAAGCCTTTCTGATCATTTTCTTTGCCAGCTCTGTGCGTCCCACACCATAGCAGACCTGCACAGGAAAAGGGAAACATCGCAATGTGGACTAGATGCCCAAGAGACTGCAGGGATCTGCCAGTGGCCAGAGAAGCCAGAGCTCTCCTGTCCACTGCATCTGGGGAAGGCATCCAGCTCCATCACTCAGGAGATCCCTCCAGACCGCGCCTTTACCTCCCCTTTGAGGCTGAAGAAGGTGGCATCTTCAAAGCGGGATATCACATTCGCTTTACTCTTTAGAGAGTTCCTCAGGATATCTGCTTCGCTCAGCTTCCTGAGGGCCTTTGTGAAAGCACACGGAGAGCAGGTGAGATTAGTGCAGAGCCCATGGCTACCCTTGTCCTCCCCCATTGCCTCTGGCATCTGTCTTCAGAGGGTCTGTTTCTTCCCCTGGTGATACCTGCACAAACAGTCATGTTTTTGACTGTGTGCCTCAGAGCACAGGCACCACTGATCGTTCAGGCCTCCTCCCTGCTAATGCCCCTCATGCTAAGGGCACAGCACCCAATGCCTCTTCCCACACAAGAGGCAAACCAAAGGAAGAAGTGAGGCTCAGAGCTCAACATCTTCCTTCCAAGGACCCACAAAGTCGTGTCCTAGTGCAACGCAAACTTGTCCTTCCCAGAGCCAGGCAGGACACACTGCAAGCAGGGCGACTCACCATGTAGTAGTTGGAGACATGCAGGTAGGCAGCTGCAGTCTCCAGAAGATAGTAAAAGGCTCTGGCAGCATTGCCCAGTGTTGTGTAGTGGTGAACCAATGGCACAAGCACTGACTCCACGATGCCTTTGCAGTCACATGAGAGCGCATTGTTGTCCTCTCTGTCAGTCGCACTACCCAGAGGACAGTGCCCAGGGGAAGAAGAGAGCAAAGAATACAAGGGTATCATCTAGAGTGGTCTTCCTTCCCAGAGACAACATCAAAAGCCCTTTGTGCAAAGCAGAGCAGGAAGCCACAGACAGGTACTAGTCATACAAGTCCTTTGGGAGGAGGGAGTAAGGAAGAAGCTAGGCTTTCTGTCACCTCCCACAGGCAAACCACCTGAGCCCTTGTGGTGGCTTTTTCCCTGTAGATTTTGCAGTACTACTCTGCAGGAACTGGAAAGCGAGGGCTTCTTTGACACTGAGCCGTGGGCGTCCTTAAGCACTCACTCATCTCCACAGCCATCTCCTCTCAGCTCCCACCCCACGGAAAGGCTCTTCGCTAAGCTAGAGTCACAGCTGACAGCCAAAAGCCAGCATTTTCTTTGTCTCCTCTGCACACCCTGAACTCACTCGCTTCAAAAAGAATCAGAACCTTGTCTGCTCACCCAAAATCCTCTTCCACAAAAGCTTGCTGCTGCTGCTGCTCCTGCTCCTCCTGAGTATCTGTAATACCTTGAAAGAAAACCAGGGACACCTCCCACATGTATCCTGGGATAAGAGTTGCTCTCCCTCTCCCAGTAGGCCTGCAAGGATCCTTGCAAGGTGCTAACACACTGAGGAAAGTCTGCAGTGGGTGTCCACTCCTGCTGGGCTCGTTCCTAGCAGATCTACTCCCACTCGACCCCCAGCACCAATCCCTGGGCTCCCGGAGGGCCCAAATTACAGAGCATGGTGCACAGCATACCTGCAGAGATGTAAAACCTCTCCTTCTTCAGCTGTTTTCCAGCCAGCACCAAGGCCTTCCAGCTGTGTGGGTCATCCCCATCATCAAAGTCCTTACAGCTCCCTTTGTCCTGGGTGCTGCTGACAGCGAAGCGGTGGAAGACAATAAAGTCCCCTTGGCCGCAGCTCTGGCATTTGTGTGCATACCGCTCCAGGAAGGCAGCACACTTGGAGTGCAGGGTGACCCGCTGTTTCTGGACCCACAGCTCGTAGGCAGCCTCCCGCAGCAGCGGCTTATGGAACATCAGCACACCAAATGGACACCCCACACTCTGCTTGCTTGGGGGGGAGGTCTCCACACCTGCAAGGCAAAGGGCCTTTGTATGAGCCCAAGCTGTGGCCAGATGGGGAGCCAGTCATGCCTCGGTGCACATCCTGAATAGCAACAGTGCTGCTGCACGCCAAGCCCTGCAGCATGGGGTGAAAGGGCTGATGCTAGCACAGCCTTGGGGATGCAGTTCTCAGCTGCACTGGTCCAGGCAGGAGCTGGGGATGTTGTTGCCAGCCAAAGCAAGCCCCAGCCAGCACTTTCTCCCCGCTCTTGGCATGGCAGCCACCAGCCTCCTGAGCAGGAACCCTGCATCACAGGGTAATCAAAGCCCAATAAAAGCTTGCTGAAGACCCTGGGCCATTCTGGAGGGCATCTTTTGTCTGGATGCTGCAGGTGGCTGGGAGAGGATGTCAGGGATTCCACTCGTCCCATGCCTGCGCTACGAGCAGCACTTGGATTCAGGGGAGCAGAGGCATTTGGGACAGCTGGTGGGAACTTCCCTCCAGTGCAAACCTAGTGTGCTTTCAGACTGACTTGTAACAGCTTTGACAAACCCATCCCCAACAGCCATGCCAGCCCTCACAGGAAGGGAATCACGCCACGCCCTTAGGAGCCCATCTGGGAGCTCCTTGTCCACCCCACTGCTACCACTTACCAATCTCTGCCTGCGGAGGGGTGGCTGGCTCCTTGCTAGGATCTTGGACGTCTTCTGGCTCCTCAGTGCTCTCCGTCCACTTGAGGATGTTGTCACTCACTAGACTGTCCAACAAGGTAGTCATCTTGTGCCTCATTCTAATCGGAAGAATGTATGACAGCAGCTGGGTAGTGAACACCGGCCCGATGATGGCTGCAAACTTCAAAACAGTCTGCTCCAGTGGGGTGATCTCGTCCAGCTGAGCCAGCACAATCTCTGTCAAGGAGAAGCCACACGTCTCAGTCCTACCTCTTCCCCACACTGAGGCTGGAGGCACTGCAAAGATTCGACGCATGAACAGGATAGGCTTTGGCCCTACACTGGCCACTTCTGGGCAATTGCAGCCCAGGACAGGTGTCTGCACAATGGCTCCGCTCCTACTGGATTTGCAGTTCACAGGGCCTGGGAAAAAGTGAGACACTCAACAGACACACTCCCCCACTGGGATAGGGCAGGATCCAGCAGGTACATGCGTCCCACAATGTGCCCTGCCAAACCTGGACTAGGTTTTTGCCAGCCCTGCAAGCAGGGAACAGACAACTTTCACCACCTCAGAGGTGAACTCAGAGCTCCCGAGAAAGGTTGTCTCAACTCAGCCAGACCTTACTCTTCTTTTCTTTGACTTTTCTTCTTGGGTTGCTTTGGGCAAAACAACTTAAGAGCAGGAATGTTTCTTCAAGGTTCATACAAATGGCTACTGACAGACAGGAGGGACATTCAACAGTCATTGACAGTTCCCCTGGCTACAGGTGAACTTCCATGAAAATCCACAGGAAAGTGGTTTATTTTTTTTAATTACGTGTGTCTTGGGTTCAGCAGTAGCAGTCATTTTTCTCCTTCTTAGTAGCTGGTGCACTGCTGTGTTTTTGACTTTAGCCTCGGAACAACGCTTGTAACACCGACGTTTTTAGTTGTTGCTAAGTAATGTTTAGTCTGACCAAGGATCTTCTGAGTCTCATGCTCTGCCAGGGAGGAGGGGAAGCCAGGAGGAAGCAGAGACAGGACAGCTGACCCAGACTAGCCAAAGAGGTATTCCATACCACAGCACATCATGCCCAGGATGTAAACTGGGGGCAGTTACCAGGAAGGGTTAGATCACTGCTTGGTCGGACTGGGTATCGGTTGGCAGGTGGTGAGCGGTTGTATTCTCTTCCCTTGTTATTTCCCTTATCATTATTATTATTGGTGGTAGCAGTAGTGGTTTGTGTTATACCTTAGTTACTGAACTGTTCTTATCTCAACCCATTGGAGTTACATTCTTTCCATTCTCCTCCCCATCCCTCCGGGAGGGGGGGTGGGGGGGTGGGGGGGAGTGACAGTGTGAGATGCGTGGCTGGGCTTAAACCACCACAACATGCCATGAAACCACTGTTAGCTGGGGAACTCAAAAAGAAAGTAGCAAGATAGAAGCTGTGTTCAAAGGTGAGTCAGAGGCAAGTCAAATTTTTGTCCCAGTAGAAGATTTGCTTCTGTGAGAAAAGGGAGTCATTTTAGTGTTGCATCAACAACTTTTCCTCTTCTACCTGCTGCTGGAAAGCAACCAGCAGGCTCAAGCTGCTCCACACACAGGAAGGAAAAATGGTTGCCCACAATGCCAGGACTGTTGCTGGTTGGAGCAGAGCCACCTTTTCCAAGGACAGCCCCAAAGCTGAGAGGGTGACTCTGCAGCACAGTGATGCCCAGCCTCCCTCCAGCCCCTGCGGCACAGCCAAGAGCCAGCAGAGTGGCTCTCTGCCCCTCACCTTTCAAGTTACTGGGCAGCATGGTGCTGTCCAGGTTCACGACTGGCCTTACAATGCAGATCATGGCCGCAGCCCCTGCTCTGGACCTTGAGCTTGCTGTGAGGGATGACTCCAAGACTGCAAAAGCTAGGTGGAGCAAGAGAGAAGGAATGAGGCAATTTGCAAAGTGACCTGCAGCCTGAAAATGTTTCCAAGTTCACCTGAAATAGTCCAAGGCCCCTTCACACCACACAGTACAGGTGCACTGACCTGCGGGTGCTGAACATGCTCTCTAAGCAGAGCAAAATAGTTTTCACTGGAAGTTTCCCGCTCCTGGCCCTCACCTCAAGCTGGAGTTTGTTCTCAGTTAAGCTAGCATTTGGCCAACATAAGTTCTGTGCTCATGAGAACGTCTCACGACCACAACCTACGTGGTCCAGAACCATTTCCCCTGAGGTTTAGCCCCAAGAACTGAGGCCCCTCCAAGCCACAACTTGTGAGCCACTGCTTTGGCTGTCCTGACAACAAGGCACACAGAAGCCCGTGCCTCTGCCAGGCCAAGTTCTGCATGATCTGCTGCAAGATCTTACTCTGCCCCTAATCCATGGGGCAATGAAGGGGCAAGTTTGTGCTGTAGGGAATGCAACACAGCAACTCATTAGTCAGTGGCAAAGGTTCTTACTGTTCAGGTTCTCCCAGCTGTCCTCTGCTTTTTCACCCCACTTCTTGGTGCGGAACAAGAGCATGTCGTTGCAACGAAGGAAGTGCACCAGCTCCTCCAAGTAATACGGGATCCCCAAGCTTCTTTGGACCAGGAACCTGGGCAGGAACAGATCCAGCAGTGATCAGCACAAGAGAAGTAGAATCATAGAATGGGTTGGTTTGGAAAGGACCTTAGGATCATCTAGTTCCAACCCCCTCCCATGGGCAAGGACACCTCACACTAGACCATGTCGCCCAAGGCTCTGTCCAACCCGACCTTGAACCCTCCCAGGGGTGGAGCATTCACCACATCTTTGGACAACATGTTCCAGTGACTCGCCACCCTAAAAGGAAAAACAGTTGAGGTGGGTTGCAAGCCACTCAGGCATAGCTGGGGAGCCAGCATCTTTGTCACAGCTACACCTCACTTCTGAAAGGGAGGTCCTCCTGCTGGCATGTGGTTTTTGGCCCCCCTGAACCTCCAGCCTTTGCTGAAGTCCCTGGGGAAAGACTTGCAGACAGTGCCCAAAGCACAGAGCAGCAAGCCCTGCCTTTCCTCTCCTCAGGAGCTTAGGTGCTCTCTGGCAGCAGGGCAGACCTCTGCCCCAGGGAATCTGCCACACAGCCTGGCCACTTAGACCAAGCCCTTTTCACACCCCAGATATGCTTGGCCTTGGGGGTCTTCCTCCCTTCCTCCTTGTGAAACAGCAAAGGGTTGGCAGCTCCTATGCTTCGTGTCCAGGGAGCTCCCCTGCTCCAACTTACCTCACTAAAGCCCTAGGGATGCTGACCACTCCAAGGTCCTGGCAGAGCTTCTGCACCACAGCTGAAGGTTTCAGCTTCTCTAGTTGAAAGCAGATGATTTTATGGGACATCAGGTTGTTTGCTGTGGCTTTGTGAAAGCTCTCGGTTCTTGCAAAGCCGGGACATAAGCTCATGACCATGAAGACAGAGATGTTCCAGAGCAGAGGTGCCATGATACTCCAGGAGGCGGGGTCAATGAAATGGGCATTGTCGATGACAAATATGGCATTTCTGTCAATGGTCTGGAAAAAAAAGAGTTGTTCTGAGGGGAATCCAGTGGATTCTCAAGTGTCTTACAGGGAAGGAGATTTTGCCTCTGTCTCTTGAGAGGATGCTCTCAAGTCTCACCCCAACCAACTCCGTGCTTGGAAGCTTCCCAATGCCTAATTTCTTTGAGATTTTCAGGTCATGCTTAACATCACCTGCCCTGCAGAAGGAGGGAGCTTGGGCAAGGGAACGCAGAATTCTCTCTCCTCCAGGGAACGCTTTAAGGGAGGAAAGTTACTAGTATGCTTGTCGGGCTATGGAGAGAACATGGGGGGTTTCTCAGGCCCTAGAGGGCAAGGACCAGGTCCTCCCACCCACTCACACTGCTGTGGCGCAGAGCCCAGAGCCAGCAGGGTTGTTTTCCTCCTCTGACCCAGAAGGAGAAAAGGAGAAATGCTCACCTTCTCTAGCACTTTTGCCCAGGTTGAATGCAATTCCTCTTTCCTTTGCATTTCATGCATTTGGCGAACCTTGTCTGAAATGGGAAACTAGACAGAAAAGCAAAGTCAGGGAGAAACATGTCTCCAGGGCTCGCTACACCTACCCACCAAGCAAGATGGCAGAGCAAACCCTCCCTGCTCTGCCTCAGCACCTTCCCTCTCCCCAGCACGGGTGCAAGAGGCCACAGTGGGACTTCAACTAGAGCCTAAAGCAGAGGCTCAGGCAGAGCTGCATCTTGGCGGTGGGCTGAAGAGCTGGTTCTCTGACTGTGGGATCTTGGGCTGGCTGGAGCAGACCACTCACACAGCAATGACCTCAGCACAAGGTCAGACCCAGCCTCATTCCAGTGCTGCTTCCAGAATGCCGAACAAGGCACCAGGCACTGCCAGATGCAGCGCGGGACATTAAGTCACCACATACAGGCAGCCCCCGGGGCCAGGAATGGAAAACATGTGCTGTGACCCCCTGCAATCCCTCCCCCTGAGCTAAGGCACTCCAGCAGCCTTAGAAGACTGCTGAAGAACCAGAAGGGCTCAGGAGAAAGCCTTCTCCAGGGTCAGAGAGGCCTCTCGCTCTCACCTTGACAAGGAAGATGTCATTGAGGAGGCAGTAGTTGCTCTCTTCGATTATCCCGTTGAGATTTGTCCGTAGCACGTGCTCCCTGGCACTGCACGATTCACACTCATGGAGGCCCATCACCCTGGCCATCAGAATACGCATGGCAGAGAAGGACTGCCTCACGTTGACCTCTAGCAGTTCCATGCCAAATACCCTGCCATGCAAAAGCAAAAGGCACTGAGATCCCCAACGGCCCAAGTCTTCTAAGACAAAAGAGCTGGAGTTGCCTTTAGGGGGAACTCTTCAGCCTCCCACTTCAAAGTGGTACCGGGAGTTTCACTCCTTGTAAGAGAAAGGGCACAGAGAGGCAGTTGCTGCCAAGCCACTGGGAGAGCTAGGTCCAGACCCCTTCTGGTTTCTGCAGCGCTGGTCCATGTCTCCCTACCTCCCTACTGCAGAGGGACTTGCAGAGCTAAGAGGTGATCATGGAGCAAGTGGAGTTTGCCTTTGGGCTCCAGACCTTAGCAGTCTGCCTCTCAGCCACAGAGAGGCTTTTCTGGCCCAGTATTCCTTCTGGGAAACAGTCAGGGGGCAAGCAGGGCTTCTGAGACAGGCCACCCTGCTATATGTTGCATCTGGAATCCAATGCAAAGCACCGAGTTTGGGCTTTTTCCTTCTATTTGTGAAGGAGGAAACACCACAGGTCAAGAAGCACCTCCAACACCCCAAAGAGACAGGGGTAGGAGCAGAGCACGCAGGAGATAACTATGGAATGCCTCCATGAGGCTTTTTGAGGAGGCTTCAGTCCAAGGCCAAGGCACACTGGCCAAGGGGCTGGAGCGTTCCATGGCTCTCAGGGATGGAAAGAAGCAGTGTCCCAAAACTACAGGACAAAACCCTGTACCTGCAGCCAGCAGACTGGCCTAACTGGGACAGGTGATTAAGTAATTGGCTCTTCCCAGCGCCCCTTGCGCCCTCAAATGCCAGTATGTGTCTTTGTCCAAAACGGTTAGAGGCTTCCAAGCAGTTGACAAAGAGGTCAATCTCCTTCTTCCGACCTGTGAAGACAAACAAGAAAATGAGCTGCTGGGGCATGCTAGAAAGCAAAGAGCCATCCCTTTGGCTGGTACCCTCCACCACAGCTTCCCTCCCACTACCACATCTGGCAGCCTACGATACCCCTGCTGCCTTCCAACCCTCTTGTCCCAGCTTTTGCACCTCTGCCTTCCTCAGAGTGGTAGCGGATGCCCTGTCCCACAGAGATTCAGACAGCCCCATGCAAATCCCCCCTCAGGGATCCAGTACAAGGCTGGAAGGGATGATCTGAGTTGCTTCAGGCAGCTGTGTCCCAAACAGACTTAGAACATCTTCTCCTGGCTGTACGACTGGCCACAGAGCACATCAGTGTTGATACACAACCGTGTTTTAGTTCTTGCTGAAGAGGGCTTGCACAGCATCAAGGCATTTTCTATTTCTCATGCCACCCTGCCAGCAAAAGCAGGCTGGGGGTGCACAAGAAGTTGGGATGGGGCACAGCTGCAACAGCAGACCCCAGCTGGCTTATTTCATTGCATATGATGCTGTGCTTCGCAAGAAAAGCTGGGGAAAAGGAGGAGGAAGGGGGCACATTACGAGTTCCTGTGTTTGTCTTCCCAAGTCCTTGATACACATGTTGAAGCTCTGCTTTCCTGGGAATGGCTGGACACCTGCCTGCCACCAGGAGGCAGTGAAAGAATGCCTGATTTTGCCTGTCATGGATGCACAGCAGCTGCTTTACCTATTAAGCTGTCCGTATCCAGTGTGCTCACTTTTACCCTTCCAATTCTCTTCCCCATCCCACTGTGGGGAGTGAGCAGCCGTGTGGGGCTGAGTTCCCTACCGGGGTTAACCCATGACAGGGCCCAAAACATCCAGCAAGACACTGAGTGATTAAAGGCGTCCGTGATGCTTGACTTTTCCATGTTTACAAGCAGATGCTGCCAAGAAAGCACCTCTGAGGAGTACAAGGGGGAGAACCAACCACCAAAACTCCCCATCAGTCTAGCAGAAGGAAATCTCTTTCCTGATCCCAAGGATGTGGGACTGGTTTAGCCCCCAGGGTGTGAGCAGCTTGAAACAAACCTTCCTATCAGGTCTGGAGCCTGCCTGGGATCACCGAGCGCCTCACCCTGCTTCCCACCCCAAAGATATCAACTAAGTAGGCACTGAGAGAGCCAGCACTTCCTCAGGGCCTCTGCAGGCAACATTATCCCCAGCAAAACCTTTTCCGTTCCCAATACATGTTACTGAGGGGAAGAAACTGGGGTTCAGAAGAGCAAGGCATTCTCCACATACCCAGCAAGGAGGCGTTCTCTGGCATCTTCATGGCAAGAGCCATGCCAAATATGCTAGGAGCAGGGGAAAAAGAAAGTACAAGTCAGTTAGCTGGTTAGAAGCCAAGGGACATCAAGAAGCAGCCTGGCATGGAGGGGCTGGATGTGCTCCTCAGGGTACCTGTTTTTCTTTCGAGCAGCATGTTATCCCCTGCATGCTCCCCCCCACCAAAGTTCAAGCTGGCATGCTGAGAGAGCTTTAAGCATTAAGAAACCCAACAGCCACACCAGGACAAGAGAATATATTGAGAGTCCGTCAACAGAGGCCAGACCCAGAGACATGTGAAAGAAGCAAGAGTGAGCTGCTGGTTAGCAGATATCTTTACTGCGTTGGCCAGGAAAAACCGAGAGTCTTGGAAACAAGGACCCAATGGGCTGGGATTCCAAGCACCTGGCACCTCTGGCTTAAGTCTTCCTGTATTTTCAGAGACTAACATTCAAACCATCATCCAAAAAGAAGGTCAAATCCTGGCCCAGAGGAAGAGCCCAGGTTTGAGGAGGAAGACATGATGAAGAATGTCCTGAGGGTCCACCTTTATCCATGGGAACCAGACTGGCCCAAAGCTTCCCACTCAAGAGCAGCTAGGACAAAACCTTCTTGGGTCAGCATTACCAGGGCATGTGGTAGAGCGAGCACAGCACGGAAAGCACAGTTTGAAAGCCATTTGGACAGAGCCTGAAAGCCAGGTTGTGTCTACCAAAACAAAACCTTCCCCATTCCTGTGGTTTCACTCCCACTCTCCCAGCAAGAGGAAACAGCAGGGAAGAGAGGTAAAAAGCCTCCTACACCAGGGCTTCTGACCGTCTCATCCACAGTGAATGGAGAGCGGCTTCTGCTCTCTCTGCAGAACTCCTCTATGCTGGCCAAGCTGGACCCTTGATGCCACCATCCCCTCATCCAGACTTCTCAAGAGGACACTCACCTGTTGGTGGTGATCCCCACATATTGATAGACAGTGACAGGATGTTTGAAGCCTTTCATCTTTCTCTCCGGCAGCTCCTTGAAGTAGCAAGAGGGCAGCCCAGAGCTGGCACAGGTTGTGGTATCACAGGTCACCAGCCCAGAGTAGCTCATCATCATCCGGGCTGCCAAGTTCACCTTCTGGCCAATGACTGCCAGAGAGATGAAGAAAGAGCACACAGTGATGTACCTGTGCCACCAGCTCCACAGTGCCCTTCCAGACCAACGGCTGCCCTACATCCGACACCCGCAGCCCCACAGTGGGTTAAGCAGATCCCAGGGGAACAACCAGCTGTGGAGCCCAGTGTCCCACCCCAGCCCAGGACTGGTGCTGCCTGGGCCATTCCTGGCTGGTTGTTGGACAGGCACTCTCCCCAGCCTGTCTTCCTCTTCCCAACAGCTCACGCCAGTTTCCCACACCGCACACACGTGCTTGTACCTGTGTACTCGTGCCTCAGAGGGTGGCCAATGAGGCCACAGAACGCCATCCCACTGGTAACAGACACAGACACTGTCCTGGCACACAGGGAAACAACACGGCTTCAGAAGCGCTCCAGGTGCAGTCCTGCCCACCCAGCTTCATCTCTTCCCGCATCTCCCCTCAGCACTAGCCTGGGCCACTGGCCATCCTGCCCTGCCAGCCTGGGGTTCGGGGTACAGAGAGCTCAGGGCTGTAAAGGACCCAGGCGGCAAGGACAAGGAACAGGGCTTAGAGCACAGGCAGGAACTTTTGGGCACTTCTCCTGAGACCCCCTTCCCTGAGCTGTGACCTGTGACCAGTGGGAAAAGAGGGAGGGAAGAAGGTGCCACAGCGTCACTGCCTGTGATGACAGCAATGTAAGATCAGGTGTCTAGGCCCCATCACTGTTCACAGGCCAGTCACCCAGAAGGTGCTGCTTCTGGCACCAAGGAGCCTCTCGCCTTCACTAGGGCTCATTCCAGCATGGTGGCTAGCAGGGTGTGCTTGGAGACACTCTGCCTGGCTGCCCAGGGATAAGCCCAGGGGTTGCCTGCCACCTCTCAGGGCACTGTTTCCTTCCTGCCAAGGAAGGGAGGACAGGGGAGGGTAAGCTAGACGCAACACTCTTTCTTCCTCTGCTTTACGCTGGCCCAGGCAGCATGCGCTCCCTCAGCCCCACCAGACACTCACCCTGTTTTTGCAATGATCTTGGAGCACGAGTTGAAGATCTGAAAAGCACTCTGCAAGGCATGAATGCTCTCATGGGCCAGCTTTACTCCAGGGAGTCCGAACACACAAAGGAATGTACAGCCCTGCCAAGGACAGATGCAGCACATCTTGCCACAATGCCTAAGAAGGAATCTTCCCCTCTTGCTCAGTATCCACCCTCTTGGGTTGGGGGGAGATGATTCCACCTCACACTCACTTTGTCAAACAGGAAGACTTTGTTCACTTCACCCTTGTGAGGACAGACGATTTCCTGCATCAGGCTGCTGACTTCACTGAGGACACTGCGGAAAGATACTATGTCCTTTGTATCAAAATTCAGGTGGAGGAAGAGGATGGTGACTGGCCGTAGCTCACAGAGGAAGTCCTGCGGCACTCTGTCTTCAAGCTGGAAGACAAGAGCATGACGGCTTCACAAGCCTGCTCTCCCAGGGGCTGCCCACGCCAGGTACAAAGGGAGAGCTGGTGTCCTGGCAATAGCAGGTACTAGTAGGGGAAGAGAAGATCCTCCTCTCGGTTTAAATGGTCGGCAGGCTGCCCAGCTTGCAGCAGTCAGATACCAAATCAGAACACAAATGACAAAGGCGAGAAGGGCGCTCCGGTAACACCCCATCTTGGGACAGTTACGGACATGAGTGGTGACACTGAGCGATGCTCATGGGGCTTCAGTGGATTCTCCCCTCTATCCTGCCATCACGTCCACAGAACATGAAGAGCCATACCCACAGAAAAGACAAGAGATGCAAATGTCTGCCCCACCACCCATCTCTCTGAGGACAACTCATCCAGTGGTGCAGCACCTGTGCCCCTTGGCCTAATTTGCCCACATTGTCATCTCGGGATGCATTTTCTTTGTTTGGCTTGCTCTCATGGAAACTCCCTCTCTGAATGCACCACTTCTTCTGCCCTGCAAAAAAAGCAGCCCCAGCAGCAACGGCCCAGGCGTACCTTCCTGAGAACAGCTTTTGGGATGTAACTAAGTATGTCTCCCACATCAGTATCAGGGTTCAAGAAAAGAGCAGGCCTGACAGCATCTGCGGAGAGGAAACACACATGGTTGCTGTGGGAAGATGGGACTACGAGCTGTTGGAAAGCAGGGGCTAGCACTGGCAACAGGGGAGAGACTCCTGCGTTTGCTTGTGTTGCCACCTGCAGGTGCTTAGGGCAGAGCTGTCCCCTGGAAGGAGATGGCAGCAGCAGCAACTGCCCCAGCTGATGCACAAGAGGGCCAAAAGCATGACTGCTAACTGAGAGGGGAAGAGGGGAGCGGTAGTTCATCCCTGACCCCTGCAGCAGCCAGGCCCCATGTTTCCAAGCAAAACCAAAACAAGGTGAATCTGGCACTCACATTCGTTTTCCGTGAAGCAGCACTTCTCCTTCTGTGGAAGCTTGTCTAAAACATTTTGGCATTCCGACAGAGACATCTGGTTCATGCCCGTAACCTGAAGGTACACAGAAGGAAAGCACTTGACACTGGCTTCTCCAGGAGTCCCAGGGGACAGATCCTGCCCTCCACTGTCACTGTCCAGAAAAGGGGAGAAGAAGCCTATCTGGCTGGACAGGACAGCAGTGCTTCCTCAGAAACCCTGGAGCTGAGCAGACGTCTTCCAAGCATCCCCCAGCTGTCAACAGCTCCGTGACCCACGGAGGACACTGCTGGTGGGGCCAAAACTCTTCCAGTGCCTCCTGACCCCTCAAACCAAGCAAGCCCAGCCCAGAGTTACTCCTAACATAAAAGGACAAGAGCATCAGCTGCTCTCCCCTTTCAGAGCTACAACTCTCTCCACATTCAGCTCTTCAGCTTTCTGAGGCCTCCCTCCTTCAGGTCCAGGTCCTCAGAATGGCTCTAGATGCTGTCCCATCCACCTACCTTCACAGCTGTTTTGCCCGCAATATGGCTGGTTCTGAGCCTGTGCTTCTCACATAGCTCCCAGCAGGAGGCTGAGAGGACAATTTCACCTGCTTCCGCAAGCTTTTCGGCCTCACAGACATCCTCCAGGGCCTTGCCAATGACACAGAAGTACTGCTGCCTCTCGTCTCCAAACCTCAGGTGGTGCATATTCCCTGCAGAGATCCCTGGGAGAGAGAGAGGGAGAAGCAGAGCTCTACAGCCTCCAGCATTTCAGCTGTTCAGAAGCCAATCTGAACCCCAGTGGGGAGATGGTCATTATGGAGGGGGAGGGCATCCTCCATCCTTCTCGAGGGGCTACTGACACAGGACCCTTAAATGGGTGTTAAGAAATAGACAAACCAAGTGGACAGTGACACTGTGTTGAGAGTGCTGGCTGTCTTAACCTGCCCCAGAAACCCAGCAAACCAAGCCCCTGATCACCGCCCACCCCCTTTACATGCAGGCGGGTTGTAGCTGTCTGCTCAAGAAAAACTACAGCCTGCAAAACCCTTCTCACAGCCTTAAGCAATGCAGCTCTCCTTTGCTCTTTG